GCTCGGCCCCTGACGCGAATGGGATGGAATCGGCCGACTCGGGCGGCGGCGGGGCCGCGGCGGGGCGGCGCGCCGCGGAGCCCCCGCACCTCGACGAGGGGGCCCTCACCCACCCCGCCACCAGCGCGATCTCCCCGCTCCTTTGCATGCGGAAGTGCCTTCAGCGGTTTATGCGAAACGTCAGCCAAGCCGCGCGCAACCTTAACGTCGGCTACGTCTCCGCGACCTACGAGGATCACTACTGGTCGTCCTGCACGGAGGATTCCCCCCGAATGCCCACCCCACAGGGCCCCCACAAGGAGGAGGGGGCCCATGGCTGCGGCAAATCGCGCGCGCGGAGGCCACTCCTGGAGCAACCCCTCGAACTCCTCCTCTCCCGGGTGTGGACACGAGAGCTCCAAGCCCTTCAGTCCGAGCGCACACCCTGAATAATAATTAAAAAAAAAGATCAACCACATGCCTATGGTAATGGAAATATTAAAAAACGAATTTAGCAACAGATACAAAAAATCGAATGAAATAAGTGGGTGAAACGTAATGGAAAGGATATGCCTTTCATGTGTGCAAAGTTGGCAAATAACTTAAAAAAATGCTAACATACCCCTTTATAAATATATACTTATTTATATTTATAGTATCCATCCGGTTGTTGGGTGTGTTACGATTAGATGCTTTTCTATGCTTTAAAATGTTTATGTGTGCTTATCAATTTAACACATTATATTCTAATGTTGATGATCCTGTTAGTTTGATTTCTTTCGTTGGCGCTCGCATTGGGAGTGTGTGTGTTTTATTGTTTTACTTTTTTCCATTTTTTTTTCCTCTTACTCACCTCCCGGTTGGATAAATACGTGTTTTTTTGTTACAGAATTTATTTAATTTCAGCACCAGATGCTACTTTTATTTTATCCTTAATTCAATGAAGTTGAACCTCTAAGTATCTGAGAAAATTACGTATAAAAAAATTCATAATTTTCTTAAATTTGTAATAATTAGAGTTTTTTTAGATAGTTATTGATGCTTTTCCTTAGTGTAGTTATTCATAAAGCGTTTGAGGCAAATTTGTTGTAGTAGGGAAAGGGCAATCGTGTATCTTTATGAAACTATACGAAATGTGTTCGTATAAAAAGCACAATAAACGGGCGAATTCTGTTGAAAAGAATCGAAATTTACTGTGAGACATATCTCAATGTCATTATATCTTTTACAGTTTCACTGCTGTACAGATGACTTTTGTACTTATTAATTATTTTCAATGTTTCATTCTTCTCACCTGAGGTACGCATACCACATTAGTGTAATGCATAACTTATGGAATATATAGTGATTTTTAAAAAAGTCAGAGTTTTTTTGTGGGTTAATGTTGTTATTTTCATAAAGGCATAATGCATATTTCTTAGTTGAAAGACAATATGCTTCTCTTCCATCTTTAAATGAGCCCTCAAAAACATGCTTCAGCTCATAAAATACTTTAGATAAAAGAGAAAAATGCTGAATATATGATCCTTATGTAATTAACTTATACCTCCCCCATTAGCTATATTTTTGATGCTTATAAATATATCCGTTTTTTTTTTATCATTTCTTTTTATCTCACGTCGTGAAAGACTTGGGTCTCATAAGAATAAAAAATGATCTCAAGAAAACAGGGAAGAGCTATAGATAAGTAATGAGAAGTTTAACAAAATATTGAGATGTGAAATCATCACTTTCAATTTTATTTATTACTTTATTTAGATTTATTTTTCCCATAGAAAGTACCTATATCTGGTGAAAAATTATACGCATATAGATATATTGATGCATTTGCTTCCCTATAATCTATACATGGAAACGTCAAAATTCTTACTTTGTTTTTTCCTCAGCAGCAATGTATTTTTTGCCGTTTATCTGTTTTTACTGCTTCGTCTGCTTTTCCGTTTCAATTTCATTTCTTATGGATAGTGTACTTGCTTTCTGGTGATTATTTAGTGCTTGACATCATATATCTATATATGTATATGATGCTTTTAAGCAACACCTATCGTTTTTGTCACCATTTAGTATGAATCATAGTTTCTTAAACTGCTTTTACGCCCTTTACTTCTTCTGAAACGGTGCAACCGTTTTAGTATATTGAAGGTCAGTTTGTAGGTTTAACGCATAACTGATCGATGACTTTTTCTTTCTTCGCTTGATCTAGCTTGGATTTTATTTCTAGGGTTCTCTTGCTTTTTTTCGAGACGATGAAGAAAAGGACATTGATTGTTTGTGTGCGCGTTTTATACTTGTCAGCTCCTTCCTGTAGCTTATTATTAGTATCATCGTTAAAACAACCCTGTACCTTGCGTTTTAATTTCATTTTGGGGGATTGTTTCGACTTACTATTATTTCTTACATGGTATTTTCCTTTCACTTATTAACTATTAGGCTTAACTTTCCAATATAGTTTCCTTATTAATAGTACTGAGAATTGGAGACAAAAAAAATATATAGAGATGGGAATGACCTGGACCCAATCCTGTCATGTGGAAAACCCTGATCGTTCCTCTGATTGGAGGGCGATTAAGGTGGTTTCCTAATACTATGCTCTTTGTGACACTTTCTTTTAGTATCTCTCCCCCCCCCCCCTTTCCTAATCATAGCACAGCAAAATGCTTAGAGCATAGACACTTCACACAACAGCAACAGTAACAACCACAACCGCTCCAACTCTAGACTCCCCCCTTGTAACAGGATCACCCCCCCTCAGTTACACAATGAAGCTGGGGTTACTGCGCTTTCGAAAGGGCCCCATTTTCCTCTCTGTGACCTGTCCCTTGACCTCCCTGCGGGCCCGCACCTTCTCTTGGTGCTGTTACAGCCCCCCCGCCGTCCATCACCGAAGGGCCAAACGGGGGGATTCCCTCAGCCTGGAGGACGTCGACTCGGTGCGGGCGAAGAAGCAGGAGGAGGAGGAGGAGGCGGAGGATGGGGTCCTCGAGGAGGAGGAGTTCAGCACGATGACGGAACGCGCCGAGGAGGCGGATCCTTTTCTCCCGCTTGTGCATCGCCTCTCGGGAAAGGCCGATGATCTCGAAATGGAGCTCCGACGGATTCGATGGGAGTTGTGGGAACGACGTCAGCTGGTGTTGGATACGCATGGAGGGGGACGCTGCGCCAACGCGCGGCGGGCGATGCTGCGGGCCCTTCACCACCCGCACGATTCTACACCGTCCACAAACAAGATAAATCCTCCTCACACAATCAATAAGGATCCCCACAATGAAAAGAGGGAGCGTACGACTCTAACGACGAACCAGCTTCAGCCATACTCAAATTGGCATGGATCCCCTTCTGTAATCCTGCGGACGGCGGCTTTTCTTTCGAGACGCTTTTCGGAGACATTTGTGAAACCACCACATTCTCCTCATTTCCGTGATAACAAAAACGACGCCTCCTCGAAAGAAATTGAAACGCTTACACAAAATATTGACTACATCCGCCGCGTTCGCTCCTACCATGCACTAAACTACTACAGTCGGATGAACCTCATCCCAAAGCGGCATATTGGGCATGCCGTGTATCTCATCCTGTGGAATTTGTGGATTGGATTTCAAAACGGCCTCGGTTGCTTTATTTTCTACACGATGCGCGAAATCAAAAAATCTGGATGGATTCGAGGCCTTTTTCCAGGAGTTTTAAAGGGAGGATGGGACGCTTTGAAGTTTCTCGCCTACGGCTGGATTGTTTCCCCGGTGATTCATATTCCCTCTGGGATCCACAATAGCTTCTACGGGCCTCTGAACTTTCTTACCGGGAGGTACTTCTTCGACTCGCTCAGCGGGCGATGGATGGTGTGCAATGTCGTGGATACGCTTTTATTTCGACATTTATTACAGCGTGAGAAACGGTTAATCCGTGCGATCGGCCGGCTGGAGTTTAAACGAAAGCACATGCAGAGGGAAGAAAAGTGGGTCAAACGGCTTTCCGAGATGGGGTTCTCCCTGGAGGAAATGAGTAAAAAATTTATGTCGAATAATGGGCGAAATGCGGGTGGAAAGTCATCCTCGACGGCACAGGATAAATCCCAAAGCGAGAATTCGAACCTCTACGAGGTTCTTGGCGTCAAGCGGACGGCCACGCAGCAACAAATTAAAGCGCAATATAAGAAACTCGCGATGCTCTTCCATCCTGATGTGATCGCACAGGGCGGTCATCACCCATCTGAACGTGAACAGCACGCCGCGCAGTCCAAATTCGAGTCCATCTCTCACGCCTATCGCGTCCTATCGAACATGGAAAAACGTCGGGTTTATGATTTGAGCGGCAATAACGGGGTGGCGATGCATGAAGGCCGTTTCGGTCGCTTTCTTTCGCGGACGCCGGAAACGATGGTTCAGAGCATCTTCGGCGGCGAGGCCTTTCGGCGGACGCTGCTCGGCGAACTCCTTCGCTCGCACTGGACGCTACGATCCGAGGCCCAAGTGAGTGTTTCCCTCAATCAATTCGAGGAACTAATATGCATTCGCGTCCGCCAAATTGCGCTCGAGCTCGCCGCCATCGCGGACGTCCATGCGAAAGCCGAGGAAACCAACGAAAAGGCCCCTCCGAAAGGAAATCGCGTCCATCCCGAGCGGCCCTATGGTGAATCCAAGCACGAAACCGCAAATTCTCCGAGGCGCCCTTCCAATACCGAATTCCCCTCATCCTCTAATATAAAAAATAACACCGATAAGAACCATCCAACCTCGGGGTTGGAGCTCTGCCCTGGCAGCAACGCATACAACAACTTCTCGAAGGACTTCGAGAAGCGCTGTGAGCGCTTTGTCGACCGCCTTTCCGAGGCCTGTTTTGGCCGCGAGCTGCTTTACGAAGTCGGCGAGGCCTACGTTGTCAGCGCGCAGCGCTTTCTCCACCTCCGCCCTTTTTACGCGCCGAAGGCGCTTTTATATCGCAAGATGATGATGGGCGTTAACCGCCTTATGAAGGCGGTCCTGGAGAAGAAAGACGAGGCAGCTCTAGGAACCGGGCAGAACGCGTTTGCCAAGCGGATTTTAATTGAGTATTTTAACATGGAGTACGATAACGTCGTGGCGGATGCCCATATCTCGCTGCGGTTTGCCGTTCAGATGGTCTTGCAGGATACCACGCAAAGCGCGGAGGTGCGAAAGCGGCGGAGTTATGCGGTTTGGTGGATTGGAAAGAAGATGATGGAGAAGGGCTCGGAGTGGAATTTTGGCACGCGCGATGATGGGGACCTCATCGCGTACGTCCAGCAGGCCGCAAACTCCCCCGCCACTACCGGTAAACCACCAAAATTCTAAGTAAAAAAAGGAAAAAAAAGGGCGAGTGAGAAGAAGAGGATGGGTTGGTCGGTTGGCTACAAAAACTCCTCATCTAGAAGATTGTCCTTTTATTATCGTTTGCAGAATAAAATCTCCATGAAATGACTTTATAATGAAATAAGCTTTATAAACCCAAAACCTGGGGACGGTATTGATATCTGCGATAGTTTATAGCTAACTGAAGTCTATATGGAGGCTTCACTATTTTTCGCGAATTTTCATCATTCCCTTGTGGTTCTCCTTATAGATATTATAATATCTTTTTAGCCTCTGTTGTTTGTGCACGGCCAATATTTTAAAGCTAACAAAAGGTTCTTACTCCACTTTCACATGATTTGACGAATTTTATTCCTTTTTAGGAAAAGGAGTGCGTCTTTGTTTTTTCTAGATACAAGGCTCTTTTGATTTCTCCTTTAAATTCGGGTTTCGGACACAACCTGAATATTGAAAATCACTTACCCAAAAAGGCGCTGGAAACGAGTATTTGATACAAATTATACTCCACTTCAGACCAAAAAAGTGATGAAGACTTCATTCAACTTTAGTAGTGATTGGGAGGATTTATTTGAAAAAAACGACGCATCCGCGTCGCCATGGCAGACTTCAAAGCCCCCTTGCGCTCCTTCTTCGCCCCTGTACGAATCAAACGATGAGGAAAAGAAAGAAATCGATCGCGACGTTGATGAGACCATGAAAATGCCATCCCTAAACTCTTCAAGCGCCTCACCCTCTCTAAAAGCGCTCAAACCGCTTTGCATTAGTGTAAACCAAACCTACACCCGCATCGGGGTAGGCCATGAGAGCGGATTTATCGTTTTTAAAATTCAACAGGATATCGCGGAGAGCCACGACGATGTGGAGGATGCAACCCAAAAGGCACAGCGCCCGAACAGCGGAAACCCACAACGACAACCCCCGCGGGAAGGTGAGGCGGAAAAGCCCCTGCCGCGCACGCTAAGCCACCTCGTGGTGGATCCCACCTACAACATCTATCGGCAGAGCCTTTCGATGATTCGGCGCCGCTCACAAGTGCTTTTCCCCACGGACGTCAACCCCGCGAAAAAGACAGGGGCGATCCACCGCCCTCATCGCGATCGCGAGCCCGCCGAGACTTCCATCGCGCGAGCCGCGGCCCCGCCCTCGGGGGCGAAGGCGGACGCCCCCGACCGATTCCGCGCAACCCCCCGCGAAAGGGCCAATTCAGACCCCCACAACGGCGATGAAAGGCGCGAAGGCGATAGTTCCCCCCTGAGTGGGTTGAACTCCTCTAAAGAACGGGAAGAGGCCAATTTTGATGATGGTGAAAAGCGCGAAGGCGAGATTCCCCTTTTGAATGGGTTGAGCACCCCCAAAGAACGGGAAGAGGGCAATTTTGATGATGGTGAAAGGCACGAAGGCGATTTTTCTCCCCTGAGTGGGTTGAACTTCCCCCAAGAATGGGAAAAGGCCAATTTTGATGACAATGAAAGGCACGAACGCGATTTTTCTCCCGTGAGTGGGCTGAACTCCCCTAAAGAACGTGAAAAGGCAAATTTTGATGATGGTGAAAGGCGCGAAGGCGATTTTTCCCCCCTGAGTGGGTTGAACTTCCCCCAAGAATGGGAAAAGGCCAATTTTGATGACAATGAAAGGCACGAACGCGATTTTTCTCCCGTGAGTGGGCTGAACTCCCCTAAAGAATGGGAAAAGGCCAATTTGGACGACAATGAAAGGCGCGAAGGCGAGATTCCCCCTCCTAACGGG